CCTGTTGGAATTCTATTTCTACTTTTATTCTTCCGAAGCTCTTTTTCGATATAGCCGTTGTTTTATGACATAAAATTCAGGGAGAACACAGTTTTACGGCAGAACACAGGGAGGCTCCCGTCTGGTAATCAATAACGGGATAATGCGTCAGTTTTTCCCACCCTATCCCTTGGTTTTCAGTAAATTCAAAAAATACGGACAGAGGTACAAACCAGGGATGCTGGCATAAGGTGATGCGTGCTGGTGACCCCGACGCGATAAGAGCATGTAGCCTGGATCCCCAATATCAGTTGGCTTATACGCGATTTCTCAGTAGACTTATTTGGAATCAAACGACATGTGCCAATTTTCGGCGGACATAGATCACATGGGACTACGGGTTAAATAGAGGGTTCCCTCAATAATCTCTTCTGGGCATAATCTCGTGAGTTGAGGACGTGCAAAGCAGATGCTTCTGAAGAAGCCGTATGCAGACTTTTAACATCAATCAAGCCGTTATCGACAACGATATTCACAAGGTTCATGGCAGTTGTGTCCATCCCCAATCACATATCTTTCGCACCCGGGCTTCGAGACCAAACAGAAATGGGGTTTTCCGGCCTCTAACAAAGCAACATCCCCAAATCGGGCCTTAGCCTGCAAATGAGGACTGCATCTTGTCACCAGACGGTTTCCATCCTCAAGTCTGATTCTGGTGAGACAGAGAGTCGTCTACAGAGAATTTCCATTATGGGGGCAAACAATTTGGAACTTACGTTCCTGTGTTCAAGCACAAGGGCGAGATGAAGATTTGAGCCCGACTGACTACTGAATACAAGTAAGGTCAGCACTGACAAGCATAGCGACCTCCATGGAACAGGCCTCGAACGTTGGTGGCACTCGAAAACTCTACCAACTTATCCGCCAAGTTAGCGGTAAGCCCTCTACACTGAGTGACTCTGTTCGCGACGTGAATGCCGGCTTCATTGTTGACAATTCGGCCCAAGTCGAACGCTGGCGTGAGCACCATCTCAACTTCGATACACAACCCACCATGCCCTTGTTCTCCTGTTCAACGGAGTTTCTTCCCTCTCCCACTTATGCAGTGTCATGCGACCCACCTTCCGAAGGAGAAGTCGCCGATGCCATACGAAAGCTACGCAACAACAAGGCACCCGGAGAGGGCGGTAGACCCGCTGAAGTCTTCAAGTCTTGTGTCGACGCTCTGGCGCCCTGGCTCCATGAGCTGACTGAACGAGCGTGGAGAGACGAGGTTGTTCCTGATGACTGGGGCTTAGGCATCATTGTACCTATCCTCAAGATGGGAGATAAGACGAGATGCGAGAACTACCGCGGCACCGACGTTGCTGCGACGATCTTCGCTATTGTCCTACTCAGGCGATTCCAGGCTGTGCGTGACTCAAGGATGAGGCCCAACCAAGCCAGATTTCGTGCTGGACGTGGATGCGCAGACCGGATATTCACCCTGAGACGCATTCTCGAATTTCGCCATAGCTGCCAACAACTGACGGCCGTCTGCTTCATTGACTTTGTCCCCCCCCCCCCGTTCTATTCCGTCCATCGTGAGTCCCTGTGGCGGATAATGGTGCTAGATGGTGTACCGGCAAAAATCATCGCCATGATCAGAGCCTATTATCTTTCCACTACTGCGAGAGTCCTGGTCCGCAACAATCTTACCCAATCGTTCGGTATTCGGTCTGGCGTTCGACAGGGTTGTATCCTGTCGCCCATTCTGTTCAACCACGCTATTGACTGGATCCTCGGGAGGGCCCTTCACGAAGGTGAGGGCGTTGAATTTGCACTCGGACACCGACTGACTGATCCCGACTTTGCTGATGATATCGCCTTACTTGCTTCAAGTTTTGGTGATCTGCAGTCCATGGTGTTACGGGTGAACGAGGTCGCTAAATCGGTCGGTTTATCCATAAACGCTGGGAACACTAAAGTGTTCTCAAGCTGCATCCCTGACCAGGAGAAGGCACCCCTCGGAATTGATGGCTGTCAACTTGAAGATGTAGACAGTTTTAAATATCCCGGGGAGAGGCTGCTGTCGAATGGGCAGAGTAAGGATGACATTATGTGCCGAATCGATGCTGCCAGATGGGTTTTCTTAAGCCTTAGATAATGCCTCTGGATCCGACACAACGTCACAATCGTCACTAAGATTGGCGTCTACCATGCATATGTGCGGTTTGTCCCTCTCTACGGTTGTGAATGCTGGGCTTTGCGTGTGGAGGACGTGCGAAAACTGGAGGTAGTTGACCACCACTGCTTGAGGACCATTCTTCGAGTGAAGTTCACTGACTTCGTCTCAAATGAGACAGTCCGCACTCGCTGCGACAACATTGCAAGAATAACTCAGGCCATCTAAGAGAGACGACTGAGGTGGTTCGGGCATGTTCTTCGTCGTCCACCTCAGGAGTCCAGTGTTACTGCGCTCGATCCGGCGCGTCGAAGTAAGGGTCAAATCAAAACCCAGCTCGACACAGTTCGTCAAGACATGGAAGTGGTTCTTGGACCTTCGGTATTCGGTTGGAGAGAATGGGTTGAATTGTCCAGATCTGCAGCCGCTGATTGTCACGCGTGGAGAGGTACAGTTCCGGACATCATCGAGACCGGCTAGATTAGGCATGATCGCAGCCGTACCAATTACAAGCAATGACGGGTCATACGCTAGCGGGCTTTTACACGCCTCACCTGTGTATCAGATCGCCGTCTTCGAATCACAAACGCAGCTCTCTGCCTCCTCGCTGATAGATTTTTGCGCATGGAAATGATATCAGCAGGTATACCTGACATTCATATGGCTGGTCAGACGTAAGAAGATTGTGGTGAACCGGCAAGACACCCGATTCCATTGAAAAACGAGTGTGCAATGGGGAAATTTTAAGCCTATTTGAGGCACATTATCGGAGCGCCCTCAAGTACTTATAGTGGCATTCAGACAGTACGTTGAACTAGTGCTATCCCCATCAGACGCAACCGCCACAAGCGGAGAAGCTCAGCTGTTGCACAATGACGTTGATTTGGGCGAATATGGCAACCCAAATTCTCGATTTCAATCGCCCTGTTCCACGTGAATCCAGCCTGTGAAAGAGCATGCTATCCAGTCAAAACGCCAATGAATCATTATAAAAGACCAGTCGGCTGACGCTCAGGGAAATACGAAACTGCAAGTCCCACATCCGACAGAAAAATGATTCGTATTTTACGGTTTTCTGTTTCTTTTGATAGGTGACGGATAGGAAGTCAAAAGTACACAGAAATCGGTTACAATAAAGTTCGCGCATTAATTTCCTCGGAAATTAAACAAGGCAAGTTGAAACTGGAGTTCATATACCAGAAAACACACGGGGAAAGCTGGGGGACCCACTGACGAACCGAACCCCTCGCAGCTGCGTCAGGCAGCGGCATAAGATCGGCGAAACACGCGTGTCTGGACTTTTAGCTAATACCTGTCTTGTTAGTACGGTAAATCATTGCACAATAAAGGTGTTTCAAATTAACTTAAAGTATGCTAGGATATCTTCCAGCACTTACGTGTATTTGCTTCGGCGGAGTTGTGTTCGCTCTTCTCTATGCCGCTCTTGTTCCCCGAGGATTGCCTGGTCCCCTTCATGCTCAATCACAAGACTTTCTAAGCCGGCTGCCTAAGGGATCGACTTAAATGTCATGTCATGCAGGAGGACGGCTATTGGTTGTTGTTGTTTGTGGTTTACTTGGCCACCCACAGCCAAGGGGTTCTATTCGCCAAAACGTAAACCAATAGCCTTACTCTCAGTCTTCGCGGGAGTCTGGTGTCCGTGTTAATTTCGTGCAATGCGACCTATCACATCGCAAGACAGCACGGAAACAGCAGCATTTCTCCTAGCGAGAGTCACTGTGAATTCAAGTTGAGGAGTCATCCATTTTGGTCCGCAATCAAAGGGCGTGGGTTTGGTGTTTTCTTAAAGGAAGATAATTTGGGATAGACATCGCATAGAAATTTCATCAGCAAATGCTTCTTTTGTAGGCTGACTTGCAAAGGCGTATGCGTTTTCATTTTAGAAAATCGCACTTTGTGCGCACTAAATCGACCCTTAAATTTCTTTTCGTGATTTTATCGACTCACCTGCCACATTGAGCCTGAGATGCATTCCGTTAGGCAGAGCAACCTGGACCGTTTTTTCTGATTGGAATGTGCCGTCTCGATCACATACAGGCAGACAGAACAGTAAAGGGATTGGCTGTGCACAGAAGGCATACAATTGATAGAAAGCAAGCTTGAATGTAAAAGGATAGTCAATAATATAGTAAATGAATATATAAATACTTCGAAATTTGCGAGGTTTATGTTCCTAGACCTCTCCCCCGGTCGAATTTAAAAATGTGCTATTTTGGACGGGCAACTGTCAAAAACCTGTAAATATCCGTCTGCATACTTTAAGCACTAAACCTGTCTTGAAGTTGCGAAAATTACCATTGAAGAATTTAAAAAAAAACAATCTGGCGAGCATAAGTTTGCTTCCGATAAATTCTCATCAGGACTGTATACTTGTGTTGCTGTTGAAATGATTAATAAGAAACTGCGGGCAATTGGACGTTATTCTATAGTTGGGGTTCAGGGGGGAGGGATTGCGTGAATGGAAAAACAAAATTACCGTCAGTGTCAGGGTGGGGAAGGGGAATAGTGGGCACTGGGACGGGTGATTAAATGCGGGTGGCTGGCTGGCTTGGTGGCTTTGGCGCATAGTAACTGTGGCGCCTGTACGAAGTTCTTCTTCATGCGTAGGACTGGTTTGCGCAACCTGATTGCAAGAGACGCTGTCC